AAAGGAATACCGTTTATATAATAACGAGCGGAATAAAGATTTAAAAAGTTACCTTTTTGTGAAGCAACGATTTCAAATGCATTCTTGCCTTAAATTCTTGTCCGGTGGATGCTCGGAGGCGGGGGCAATAAAGATCCCAACGTTTTTTACTCCGAAAAATATTCCGTATCAAGGTTTGTTTTTCGCTTTGTTTATAGAATATTTTGACGTTTCATTCGCATTTCGAAGTTATTTCGTTACGTCGTTATTCATTGTCGGAATTGTTTTCGGAAACAGAAAAACAGCACTTGTGAAAAGTTTTCCCTGCTATACTCGAGTGGGATTAATAAGGCTCTTTTTCGTTTTTTATCTTTTAAAAATTGGAGGTGTCTGATAATTTGAGTCATGATGGATTTTGTGAATAAAGGTAGGGACGTGCTAATCTACAGTTATCTATCGGTGTTTTAATTATAAAGGAGACATTATAAATTAGAAAAAAAACGTTGTTAATAAATGGTGCACATAATTCTTTACTTTTTCCATTCAGCATTATTAATCGTACTAGCTACTCGTACTTTCTATTATAATTTAATTTTTAAAACTTCATTTGTTCTTGTAAACAAGTCATACAGAGCTGAAACATTTATTGTGATTTTCCAGCGTACCTACCACTGACGATCGAGTTGCCAAAAAGATTCCACAAAAGGACCGTTTCGAAGCTCAACGAGTCCAGAGACGATTGAAGTTAATCGTTTCGACTCGGAATAGATTAAAAACCTATTTTATTTGTCAAGAGGGAGCGATATAAAAGATTCTGGGCAAAAAAGTCCCTGTGACGAACCGCTGGGTGTGACCACTGAATTTTAATATAAGATCTCTTTTTGTCGGGAAATTACAAAGCACTGATTCAGACCATTTGTGCGACCGATTATCCCGCCTGAAAAGTCTGTGTAAAATTCAACCTACCAAGTTCTGAAAGGTTATTCATTTTTTTCATTTTGGTCAAATATGATGGACTTTTTTTGTGCTCAAGCTACTGTTTTACAAACTACACTTATGCACAGTGGACCTGATCTTGGTGATTTCTCAAAACGTTAAACTTTTTACTGTAGAAAAATCTTTATCATGCTCTCTACTTAATATGACAGCAGTTTTATCTTTTAATTCTTTAACAGAAAAAACTACTTCCCAATAAAGCATATTTCACGGTCAAGTTTAAATTTGTACAAACTTGCTTTGGACAAGGTCAACAGTGGTTAAGCATACGCGTGTTGCAGTCGCTTTGAAGCATCTTCAAACTTAAATTCAAAATGCAATCCAAACTCATTTTATGATTATAATTATTATGATTATTTATTCAATCTAGGTTGTTGAAAGCTCTTGTGAAAGTCACACGCTGTGCCATCGGTTCGTAAATCTAAGACGGGAGACCTTGTACCGTCAAGAACTGGCAAGAAACTCAGCAAGGGCTATTTTTTTCTCCCTTTTTTGTTTCAATCAGTGTCGTCAATTGAAAGATTACATCAAAACCTAAAAACATGTCGCACCTTTATTCCAATACTGTCATTATCATAAAATAAAATTACAATACAGGATTTGAAGTAATGTGTAGATTCATAACGTAGCAAACAGATGGCGTTGTAAACTATTTTTTGAAGAATTTTGTTTAATACTGTCAATACTGTCTAGTATTGGAATAAAGGTGCGATGTGTTGATGTCAACTTATACAACGTATCATCAAATGTAAGTATCATTAAGTAGGCCATTCATAAATTTTATATTGTTAGCACGGAAGCATGCCCCCTCTAATTAGATCCGTGTAAACCCAAGGATGATCTGCAGAAAGTCATAATTTGATCCTTGTCTAATATGAATGCACATTAATTATGACACAATGAATCATAAACCAAATCCATTTCTGGGTATCTCGTGAAACAAACAAACACCGTTTTCTTGTTACGCCGCTTCATCTTATTCTGTGGGTGGTTAACGTTGTTGTGGAAATCCACAAAAATGAACTTTATGATACCGACGTTAGAATGGAATGTTGCTTATGTTTCTTTTCGATTGGCGAGTCCATTGTGCCCCAAATGAATATTAAAAACTGGATATATGCGACGTATTGTAAATAAAGATAAATAAGGATATCTCCAGCCATAGCCACGCTTTTATATCACATTTACTGAATGTATTCTTAATATAATAAGCAATACTTCCGTAACCGAATGGTATGTAATCGGGTTTAAAAGTTTGGCCTACTCAGAAATCCCGAGTTCGAATCCCAGTTAGGAAAATGTTTACTATGATGAATACGAGCGATTTTGTACCCAAGGCCGCGTTGTTTGATACACAATTAAATTTGATTTTTAGTCAATGTCACGTCATATACGTACCTAACAGATTTTTATACCCAATAATTTTAACAAACGGTTATTTTTTTTCTATTGTTGTGTTCAAGCAAGATCTGGAACGAACTTCCCCCAGCTGTTATTCCCTAAAGCTATGGCTGTCTCACAAAAAGGTAGATTAAGATTTTTCTTCAGAGCTGGCAACGCATGAGCAGTGCACTTGGCACTGCAAATGTCGAGGGTTAGCTATCAGATCGACTGACAGCTCGATTTAAGAAAAAGTTAGATTTAATTTGATGACGCATATGCTTCAGCTTGTATGAAAACTGAAAGTGTCAGCATTTCGATCCATGTCTGTTACTGAGTCATAGACTTAAGACCACGATTATTTCGTGTATCTAACAATTATGGCGTGAAGAAGCATTTTTGCAGAACGTCAAAGTGAGGATGGTAGGTGTGGCAGTTTAGAACTGCTGTACCAGCTATCTTCGCGTTTGGACTCTATCACCACTTAACATCAGGTGGGGTAGAGTCATTTGCTTGCCTGATTATAAAAAAAGTAAATTATCATCGCTTAGTTAGCAAATTAAATTAACTATCCTGATTAAATATAAGCCCATTCTGTATTATGTATGATTCTTTGCACAATAGCGCTAATATTTGTCAACTCGTAGATACCCAACGAGTCCATTTTCCTGTATGGCCCAGATTTTCAATCGACTCAAGCTCGGAACCTAATAAGGCCCGCAATTTCCGACTTTGAACCGTGGGTCTGAGTCAACAGCCTTGACTGGCCAAATAACCACTTTGTCAGCCTTAAATGGGGGTTAAAATTGAAGATGTTAGAGTCGAACCTTTGAAAAGAAACGGTTCTTGGTGAAATGAAATTTTACTGTTATAGTTCGGAACGTAAGTTAAGACTTGCTTTGTAGCATTACACTTCATAGAATGAACACGGAAAACGTGAACCAAGAGTAGGTCAGATCATAGTAAAATTTAAAGTTAAAACATCTCTATCGACTTTAAAGTTTTATATCAATTGGTCTATCGTTAATAAGACATCAATTAGATAGAAATGGAGCTGCTTTTGCCAAAACATTGCATATTATTAACATTTATTATTAACTAGGTATTAAAACTGCAGTATTCCAGAGGCTGCAAGGTACTCACCGTTCTTGTCATTTTAAATTCGATTATTGTTAATAGATAAAGTTCGGGTGTCACCTGTTTGATAGAAATATAGTCTATTTAACGTTGGCACAAAAACTTCTTCTGTTCTGTATGTTCTTCTGAAATCTGAATGTTCTAAGCATTCCGAGAGATTTCTACAGCACGTATGGTTGATCTTTCAAATTATTTGAATGTAACTCTTATTTTTAAGCCATCAACTTGTTATTTATCCATTATGTATTTTACTTTTTTATATTAAAAAAAACTTCTTAAAATAAAAATATAGATACTAAGTTTCTTAATTGTAAGAATAATTAACAATTGCAACTTTTGTTTCAATTACCGCACAAACAGTTCCTCCTACACTTTCAGTATAATTTAATAGTTGACACTTCATTACTAAACATTAGGCAGATTCAAGTTAGTCTTGCCATAATAACTTAAGACCCAAATTATTCAGGATTACCTCAAACAACCTCCAATCCTCTTACATACCAACCTCTGACTATTACATAACAAATGTTAGCAACTTCTGGTGATACATACAGCGCAAAACAGTAAAGTAAAATTATTTGTACTGTTCATAGCGTGTGCATTAAAAATTATAATGGTACTAGCGGCCCGCCCTCGCTTCGCTTCGGTGTAGAGCTGAAGTGTAGACTACAGTTTTTGTTCTCAGGCTTGTATTATACACAATGACATTCATCTATGCTTCTTATTATACCTGCATGCGAAGTCTCAGCCCGATCGGTTTAAAATTGTCAAAGTTTCATACAAACTTTCATTCCCTATTTTATCCCCTTCGGGGTAGAATTGATCAAAATCCTTTCTGAGCGGATGCCTACATCATAACATCTACCTGCAAGCCAAATTTCAGCCCGATCCGTCCAGTGGTTTGGGGTGTGCGTAGATAGATCACTATGTCAGTCAGTCAGTCACCTTTGAGTTTTATATATATATATATATATAGATTAAGTCAGAAACGATAAATAAATGGTTGGTCACCCAGCGAAGCGTGACCGATATTTATCTGAGTCAGAAACAAGTCTTTCGATTGGGGAGTCCAAGTGGGGATTTTTGGATTTTCTCGAGTTTGTCCGCCCCAATAAACCACCATAATATAAAAGGATCTTGATGATTCAGTGGTTGTTGCATTCGAATGCCTTCACAAAGTAAAGCGTGGCTGTCCATGGTGACTCCCTACTCGCCTGGTCTGCCTATTATTTACTCTTTGACACAAATATTATTGTATTATTTAAGCTTTAGAGCGACCTAAACAGTTCATGTATGATGTAGTCTCTCTCTTAACTTCGCCTCTGCAGTATATTCACATTTAATATCAGGTGTGCTGCAACAATTTACCAGCTGATTTATAAAGAAATCGGTGCAGAGCTAGATACTGGCCGATCTTTTTTTCATAAGGCGCAACAAATTACCTCATCCATGGAGTCCAGTCGATCTATTAGCATAATGAGATTTTAATATCACTGTTTTGTTTGCAGGAATGGAACGACTATAAATTGAAGTGGAACCCCGATGACTACGGTGGTGTGGACACACTGCACGTGCCTTCCGAACACATTTGGTTACCAGATATTGTGCTTTATAATAAGTGAGTACCAACCATTTTTATTTGGACCTCTGCATGGCCAAATGGTATATACTTTGGGTATCATGGCGTACTGGGTCGAATCCCGATGGGGGCAAATGTTAGTATGATGAATACGAGCATTTGTGCCTTAGTCATGGATGTTTTTATATATTTATGGATAAAATATACTTATATAGATATCAGTGTATTATGTAGTCTATCCATTACCCTAGAATCCCATCCCAACACAAGCCTTTACAGTGCTTACTTCGGTGTGAGCGTGGAAAGTATTTATTTATGACACTAAAAACCTGAAAATTCCCCTAACCTTACCGTCGGGTCATGTCCTCACTGGGCGAAAGATCCACCAACCGGTGGCACCCCGCCCAGCGAGGGGACGGCCCTGTGTGAGGAACCCTTACAGACCACAACTCAACCAGTGAGTTCGATTCGAACGAACCCATCTTGGGGATGACCCGAGACAAGTCATACTCACTTGTCTCGGGTCATCCCCAAGGTCATAAGGTCATTAACCAACAATTTTGAAGAATGAACATTCGTCTGTTAAGTAAAACAAACACTGGCCTGTATAAATAAATAAATCTTTCTAGCACTTACACCAATTAGCCTAGCCCTAAAGTAAGCATTGTGAGGCTTGTGCTATGGGATACAAGGCTAACGGATAGAATACATATATAATATATGACATGCACTTCAGGAGTATTCCATTGCTATAACAAAAATAGTTAAAAAAATGACCCTAAATTGACAGAGAAATCTCGTAAAATATGTAATGAATTTAGAACCCATATTCAATCACCTTTTTAAAGTCGGTTGAAAACTAACTTTAAAGAGCCAAGTCACATGCGTGTTACGTGTTCACCACCGTTAATCTCACTCAAACTTGGTATACTATTGAATTAAACTGTTTGAAGAGTTGTCTCGCGAGTTCTATACGACCGTTCCTTTCAATAAAAGTTAACTTTCTTTACTAACACCTATAAAGTCTTCTTCTATTAGGTCGGGTCTTATCTCTTTATTTCCGTTCCAGGGGTCTGATCCCATTACTCTGCATTATCACGGTGACTCGACAAGTTTATCTTGGGCAAACTTTAACCACGGCCAGCGCAAAACTGTCTTAAATAGACACATTTTTTCTAAAGATTTGGCGGTGAACTTTTGCTTCTTGCAAATACTCTTAGGCAAGGCGGGCTGTTAAAGAGAGGACAATGTTAAAATTGGCCTAAGAACCAACACCAATTTGGCATTTTATAATAATTCTTATTACATTTTTTGCGATAATTATCAGTATTTTGATTGTGACGGACACTTCCAATTAAGTAAGCTAAATTAAAAAGTTAAAAATCTAAGACAATAAATACCATTTTATGTGTATAATCTATGACAGTGCTGCAAACGAAACACTCTTTCCTCCTAATGCCGGCACTTCACTTGGCTATTCGCATTTGCTATTTGAAAACTTGAGATCAGTCTGTCCTTTTCATTTCTTATTAAGCATGACAAGGACACATTGTTGTAAAGTGAAGGCAGTTTGCATTCGTAGTAATCTGTGGCATTCGTGCATTCTCGTTTCGGATTACCTGTTGTGTGTGTTTATTTGCGATTGTTTTTCCTTTAATTTAACTATTTCGGCTATCTAATATGCCATCGATGTTACCACAGAGCAGAGACCTTATTACCAAGTGCTAGTGAACCTGTGCCACAACATCCTGAGAGGATCATACTGCCAAATTATTCAAGAGCACCTGATACACTTTCACGCTGCATATTTACACAATATACATGTGATAAACAAATAAATGCAATATACAATATGATACAATTATGTGAAAAATAGTCAATAAATAAGAATAATAAAATAGAAAACTACAGTTTTTATTTTATTCACGATTCCTACCTAAAAAGTTTTTCCTTTAAATCACACCAAATAAAATGAATAAGTTGTAATATTAATTCACTTCATACTAAGTTCATAGGTTGACCTATGGTTTCATTTAATATTAAACATAACCTCAAAAAAAATTACTTTTCCTAATAATTTAAGTTCTCAGAAGTTTCCGTCAATAATCTTTGTTTTTACAGTCATTTAGTTGCTATTTCGAACCTAGGAAATAATATTTCATGATTGTTGGTTCTTAGGCTAACTATGTATGGATGCAGAACAATGTCCTTTAGTGGATTTTTTGTCAATAATTACATCTAATCGTTCTGCAAGCGGGTATCTCAGGATCTGTAATAGGTAGTAGTTGCAATTTTCACAGAATGTTTCCGTGATACCTTATACTAGTGGCCCGCCCTCGCTTCGCTTCGGTTTACAGCTTTAGTATAGACTATAGTTTTTGTTCTCAGGCTTGTATTATACACAATGACTTTTCCATATAATTACATCACGCTTAGACCAGATGAAAATGTTGCAAAAACGGGTAAAAATATTCCATTTGTGAGCTTCCATTGCGTGTGCTGCGTATACGATTAGAGTGACATGAAAATCATCTATGACATAAATATTTCCCTTTGAAAGTTTTTAAAAAATCCGTGACAGCATATGTCCATCAACAAAATTTGACTCACTATAACCTCCTTTAAATTTCCGCGGGTGAAACCGCAGGGGACCTCTAATTGTGGCATTTTTTTACACATTAGGTTACATAATCGAAATTTTCATACGGAACTCTAACTTTTTAGAAAGTACTGTATAGTCTATGTTCATCAGGAACAATGTAGGATTCCTAATGTAAAAGATTTTTTCAAATCGGTTGAGTAATTTCAGAGCCTATTTTATACAAACAACCATCATCATCATCATCAGCCTATTAATGTCCCCCATGCTCGAGCACAGGCTTTCCCTATGGATGGAATAGGGAGATTGGGCCATGACCCAACACGCGGGCTCAGTGTGGATTGGTGGGTGCTAACGACTGCAAATGCAGCCGGGACCAACGGCTTAACGTGCCTTCCGAAGCACGGAGGAGCTCGAGATAGTAAATTTTTTTTTTTGGTCACCCATCCAATGGCCGACCACTGGGAAAGTTGCTTAACTTCAACGATCGCAGCCGAACGCGCTAACCACTTGCGCCATCGATCTCCTCAATATATATAATAACATATAATACAAACAAACAAACAATAAATTCTTTCCTCTTTATAATATAAGTATAGATAATAGAAAATTGAACAGATTTTAAAAACAAAGGTGTTTTTCGAAGATATTTTTAGTTTTAGTGTCTAATATTTTACACTGGTAAAAACTATTTATGTGCTAGTTGCGCTCGCACTTGGCTAGTTTTTTTTATCTGCACAAAAATCTTTGTTGTAGGAACAAAACCCCGTTTACTCAAACATTACTTGAATTGCTTATGTTTGTCGAAAGCGTATTCCTATCTATAGGCGCTTTCAATTAAATTGTATTCACCAAAGTGACATTGAGCCTACTTCTGGTAGGTACGATTCTCTTAATCTAGTTCTAAATTTTATTTTAGTGTAACCTTATCCTCAGCATAATAGGGCTTATCGTGCTTTTTAGATAATAGTAAGGAAAATACTACTGCCAAATTTGTCCAATTTATTTTCCTCATTCACCCCACAATTCGTTAGGTCCAATGACCGCATAAAAAGTCACATTGGCTGCCTTTTGTAATCATTTTAACCAACTAGCACACAGTTCTTTGCCATTGAGTAATTTACATACGATTATACAAACACTACCAATTGTATAAATTAAAAAACACGATATTAAAAAGAATAATACGAACTACTGTTTTCTACTCTGTAACTAATGACGGGTAACTTTTATCATCATCATCATCAGCCTATTAATGTCCCCACTGCTGGGGCACAGCTTCCCTATGGATGGAATAGGCAGATTGGGCCGTGACCCACCACGCGGGCCCAGTGCAGATTGACGGGTAACGACTGCAGATGCAGCCGGGACCAACGGCTTAACGTTTCTTCCGAAGCACGGAGGAACTCAACATAGAAGATTTTTGGTCGCCATCCAATGACCGACCTCTGCGAAAGTTGCTTAACTTTAACAATCGCAGCCGAACAACGCTAACAACTTGCGCCATCGAGCCCCTCGACCTCTACTCATAATAGATACGAAGTCTGTGGAGTTATCTACTAAATTACTATTACAGTAAATGAGATAACAGCGCGCTGAGAAACCAGCAGAGGCTAAGTTAGACTCTAAAAATGGGGAACGTGTCCATTTGTAAGCCGCGTGCCAAAAGACAGTGCTATTGATTTATATAGTTGACCCGCTGCCAGAAACGTAATGAGTGGTCGCGATGGAGGAATTTAGTGCTTCATAAAACTACGACCTGATTTTAGAAAATAATTCATTAAATTGGAGAGCGATAATATCGAAGCATATCCTGTTAAATTATCAATTACTGAAATTAACCATAAGGAAAAGGAGCAAACTTTCCTATTAGGGTTGATGACGGTGTATAGTTAACGAAATTCTATTAGTCCGTCAGTCAGATTATAGTATCAAAAAATAATGGACACTTTTTTATTTTGTCAATCAACCAAAAAATTACAAAGATAAAGCGCGTCAAATTTTGGGAAAAAATGTACGAAGACGTGACGCCATGCGACATTTTGATAATTTACTTTGTAGACGAAGAAAAAAAATAAGCATCATCCTTATCATTAATGCATTAATAGTGCATAATCGAAACGTTTATTACCAAGATGCTTATCGTTAACGTACTTACAACTTGTCACTGTTATACAAACTATTAATTATTATGAAACTAAACCGAACTCCACAACAAAATCTTATCTAAACATAATAACGTAAAACAATTTGCCGAGAAAATTTTTAAGTTTTTTTTTTATTGTTGGTGCACAGTCCTTCTACCACGTTTTGTTTTTATTTTTAATTCTTTTTATTGTTCTACGGCGTAAGCAATTTAAAAAAAACTAAATATTTTTAATCATATTCAGCATTGTTTGTTATGAGATAATTTCGTTTAGTTCCAAAAGGAACACTCCCC